TTATTTACTGATACTAGCTGCTCTTGGTTGCAGGTGATCCTCTGGTGTCTGCAGCTGGTCTCTGCTGGTGTCGTCAGGATCAGGAGCTTCCAGAAGAATGTGCCTTTCAATGACTCTTTCCCCCTTATTTGTTATATTAATTAAATAAATCTCAGTTTATATATTTCCTGTTTTTGTTCATGTCCATAAATACTTAAACATGCTTGAAATTAAAACGAGCTTTTAACAGTGAGGTGCTACTTTAATTCATCACAATAGAGCTAGTTAAACATGCATTGTGATAATTCAGTTAATGTAATTTATAAATATCCATTAAAATATCAAAACTGGAATCTATATGAGATATTTGGCAGCACAAAAAAACTTGTCAAACACAATATTTATTATAATAATTGTAGGCAGACAGGAGACAGAGCTGATGGAGGTTCTCAGTCATCGAAGGATGGCTGAAGGCTTTCCAGGAACAGGAGATGTGGTGTTGTCTCTTCTCTCTCTATTCTGCCAGATGAGCTGATAGGTTACAGGTGTGTGAGGACGTCCTCATGCTGTCATAACCAGATGACAGGAGTTATCAGATGATCAGCCAGGCTAATGAGATGCAGAAAGAAAACAAATCCAGGACAGTGTACAATAATATGTGGTGTTGCTCACCTTATGTGCTCTTATAGAATATTAACGTGTGCCTGCCTCATGGTGTAGAGTCCATATTTTGCTGAGTGTCCTGCAATAATGCAGGTTATTAGTTAATTTACTTTTGATAGCAAAAACAAAATATTTAATGTAAAAGTTATTTACCAGGTGAATCAGCTCACACGTCACCACCAAGTGTCACGGGGCCAGAATCAGTAGCCTCCTTCATGATGTCATGATCTAATCACATACCTATTTAATTGTTAATATCTTAAAAATTCTGAAATGTTTTAATTTTTTTTACCTTGAACAGTTCACTGAGCTTGCACTGTCACTGAGGTGGAAGCTGGAATCAACAGCAGACACCTCACATCTTGGTCTTTTCAGGGGTGTGGACGCTGCTCTGGGACCTTCTGGAAGATGAATTTTCATCATGGTCCCCGTGGGTCACCAGACACACTGCGGCTGTGAACTCCATTCTGGCTGGCTATGTAAAAACAAAGAAGCAGCACATTTATAAATGTTTAAAAGAGCATAAAATCACGTGTAACAATAATCTGTAAAACAAATTAAAACTAGAAGGTAATAAAATGTTTACACAGAAGATTATTAAAAATAATTCACCTTTGCTACGGGTAAGGCTTCACGTCAGCCTGGACAAGTGCATTCTTGCAGCTAAATCAGTCTGACGGACAGTGTCTTGGGTAGATTTAGCCTGAAAAAAAATAGAAGCACATTGTTGTTGGGAGTTTATAAAGTCAGATAATATACAAAAGAAACTGTCCTATATAGGCGCTTTATAACATTCCTAGTGTGTGATCGTTGTTATAACGTAAAAGTCAGTCACACATGATGTGGGGAGCCTGAAATGCGACCTCCTGAACAGAATTCCTCACAGAACCGGGTCACAAGCTGGATTTCACGCTGTAATGCCGTCTGTCAACTAGTGCTGCGTCAGTTAGAGCCACTGTTGCAGAATTACCGACTGACACAAAAACAAGCCAAATTTTCTCTGAGCCTGGCAGTAATAGTCATGTGGACCATTTTGTCGGCCAGGGCTTCGAGATATGTTCCGATTCGCCGCTGATTCTAACCATCCCGTTCTAAAGGCAGTGCAGGCTGATATTAGTTAAATGGAGTGAACCACGTCTCTCAAGCTTTGCATTTAGGTAGGGAATTGTCTTTAAAACTTTTATTTAGCGTACTCACCTCAGACTGGAGCCCGCCATGGTGGGGGAGCAGAGTCGGTGGGCTGCATCTAAATTGCAGAAGAGCCACGGTGGGCACAGCCTCCCTCTTCAAACGGAGACGTGCAGAATGGCGGGTGAAATGCTGGTTGCAAACTACAGCACCAGGCGGGAGCTGAAAGTTTTCCAGACACCGATTGCGTGCAACCACTGGCGCCTAATTTCTAAGTCCAGCAGAAAGGAATGCAACCCCACAGAGTCACCACAACCATACTACACTACACCATCTCACCATGCTAACACGATATGGAGCACTAAACCTGAACTTCTTTCCTAATAACACTAACAGCCAAACACTAACTAAACTACAATATCCAACAGCCAAACTAACACTAAATAAGTATGTATAACAGTAAAAGCTATGCTAAAGACTATGATATGCTAATGCTATATGCTAATGCTGAACTATGGCTAGCCTCCTACACTCGCATGCAAATCCAACTCCCAACTCGCCACAAGGCGTGGCCGAGACTCTCGTTGCTTTGATAACTTTGACACAGAGCTGCTACGTAGTACTCTACTGGTTTACGTAGTGTCTTACTCTTTAGCCATTGGCTAAAATTTATTCAAAATGACTCAAATTCTATGTTTTAAGCTGAAGGTGGCGCTATACTGTGGTATTTAGGCAGAATTTTTAATTTTTAAAGAAAATGCACCAAAATGCTAAAATAATGAATACACACATTTAAAACACTATTAGACACTCATTTATACAGTTCATCAGCAAAAAAAAAGTTAATTTAGACGTCACTTGCTCTTTAAACAACTCTAGAGATCCCCCCCAACCCCCAAATCACTGATGATAAGCAGTCGTTACGTCCCTCCTTCCTGCTTTGAAACGAGAAAAACTGACAACCCAGCAGCTGGATATGAGAAATGTTTCAGTAGGACCTTCCTTCCTAAATGACTGAAACATCAGACTCTTTTGGGATTTTCTCACTGTAAAATTCTCACTACAATCTTACATACTGCACCTTTAACACATTTGCATCAGTAATTTCATATAGTGGAACTGAACAACATTAAGACTTGCTGTGTATTATGTGTGGGTGTGGGAGGGGCTAAGTGAGTCTCTCTGAGGTGTGTGTGTGTGTGTGTGTGTGTGTGTGTGTGTGTGTGTGTGTGTGTGTGTGTGTGTGTGTGTTAGGACCATGAAAAGGATGGGTGAGAACCCCCTGTAGTTTTCTGTGTATTTATGGTCCTGATTAACCATCAAGTTCATCTGAAGATCTGAAGTTTAAAAGCAAAAGTTAATAATTCCTCTTTGTGTAAAAATAAATAAATCTGAAGTGTTTGAGTGAGTTTCACTTCACACGCATGCATTTGACGCCTGTGTGTGTGTGTGTGTGTGTGTGTGTGTGTGTGTGTGTGTGTGTGTGTGTGTGTGTGTGTGTGTGTGTGGTCGGACTCGGACGGTCCTTCAGTGGGTCAGCAGGTTTTATAGTTTCTCCAGAGACAGCTTACACGTGCTGCCGTGGCTCCGAGGTTGGACGCTCATTGTTGGATTTGGTGGTTTGTAGGGTCGACCAATCTTGTTGCTCTCGCAGTCGCTCTTTTGATTTTCTGTACAGCTTAGCACGCAGCTGCCGGCCACATCGCTTGATCTTTAGCTTCGTAGCTAATTCTTCAGAACTGAGTTCATTAACTCCATCAGTCAACCGATGGCCATTAAATTATATAACTCCTCAAATAAACACTGTTTTTGATCACCACCATCTCGAGTGGCTTCCTAAGTGTACATGCTACTGCTGTTGTGCTCCAGGTTTCAGCTCTGTTAGCACAGCCCTGATGAAAGGGATTTGGGCAACCAATCACACCTTTTACAATGCCACGCCCCTTCATATAATCTGTGCATGTGCACGCAGACTAGCATTTATCAAATCCTTGTGTGATAGGTCAAATTCCTGCTTTAGTTGTTTGAATGATTTCAGGCTGCATCCCGTAAACATGAATAAATAGTCCACTTGTCATAGCTTTTATCCCAACTAGGTATAAAGTTTGGTATTTTCATCATTTGCTGCTCTACTTACTGAACTTGATCAAGTTAATATCCTTTGTATGTTCGACCATATTTTCATAATTTCTTTAAGGCAGTAATTCTTAATCTTAAGATTTCTTTGTTTTGCTTGAGTTGGAAAGGGCAGCGATTGTAAAAGCATCTTTGGACAAGCGCTCTGTTCCATTTCTACCCATAAAGAGTCTCCATGCTTCGTTGTCCATAAGGTCAGGGCTTCATCTGGTAATAAATCCTTAAATCTGGTACATTTAGCCCACCCTGTCTTTAGATACCAGGACTGTCTTTTATTTCATTCTCGCTTTTTTATTTTGCCATAAAAATTGAGACGATATTCTAACATTTTAAAGGTGGAGCCAAAATGTTTTTTACACTTTTAACACTACCTGATCATCTTGTGACGTGTTTCTGTTACTTATGAGTAAAATGAAAAGACAGAATGTGGCTTCAGAGACTTATAAACACTCACCTGCAGGTAAAAAGGTGGATTTTTTTTACTATCACGCAGATTATTACAACCTCATACCAAAGACTTTAAAGAAATAAGACCCAATGCCTCCCTGCTTGACACTCAGCATTAAGGGTTGGACTCGGGGTTAAACCACCAAATGGTTCCCGAGCGCAGCCGTGTCTGCAGCTCACCGCTCCCCCAGGGGATGGGTCAAACACAAACATCAGTGTGTGTGTGTGTGTGTGTGTGACAACTGATGGGCACGAGTGTGTGCTCTGGTGAAAATCTCCGCTCAGTCGTAGCTGATGACTCAGCAGTTTTCCTGCTTGATGGGATCATTCTACAAGTGGTTCTTTTTCCAGCTGCAAAACCTCCTTCAACCGTTTAGCCACCGCTGTGGTTGCTCCGGTCTCCGGGGTACGCCAACGATCTGAGACCATTCAGTCGTGGTAAACGTGTGAGAGAATATTTAAACTACAGCTAATGCAGATTAAACACAGCATAAATACATGTGTCTGATAGCTGCTGGAGCCTCGTCACAGCTATGAATTACATTCAGCTTTTCCTTAACAGGTCCTCAGTGGGATTAATCTATCTCTCTGTCTCTTTACGTATCCCCCCCCCTCCCTCTTCAAACCCCCCCCCCCCCCCCCCCCAGGTTGCTGAGACATCAAACTCCTTCCTGAGTCGCATGCTGAACAGAGACACCATCACAAGAATAACATATAAGAGTAAGTGCTAAAGCTTGTTCTCTAAACACCACATTTCTCCATTCTTTATTAACGCGGTGACAGATTTTTACCCAACGTGGAAAAGCTGCTTGTATCTGACATGACTAGAGGGGTTAGGGTTCGCTGGGGACTTGTGTTCAAGGTCCTTAAGAATGGATCCTGGGCTCTGCGTTGGCCCACGGTTGCTGCGCAGAGGAACCCTTGGGAAGATTGCATTTACGTCTCACCGAGAGACTCTGTCTCTGAAACTTACAGGTTGTCATGGTTCCCAGGCTTTTGAGCAGGATTTCTGTGAAAATTAGACTTCCTGCATATAACAGGAGGGAACAGAGCATGTTGTACCGACCAATCAAAGAGCAGAAAGAAGATTTATCTCTGTCTGACGGCGGCTGTGTGTCTGTAATTCAGCTTTCCATCTCTCCACCAAACACATCTGTGTGGTTCCCTGTCTGCTGCCACACGGAGGCTCTTTCGAGTGTGTGTGTGTGTGTGTGTGTGTGTGTGTGTGTGTGTGTGTGTGTGTGTGTGTGTGTGTGATTTGTCTGAGCAAAAGGCTGTTATGGGGAGGAGGAACGGGTCGTTACTAATAAAGTGGAGGAACTGGTATAAATGCATGTATTCTGATGTGTTCTCTGGGTCTTTATTGTTATATCACTCCTCATCAGGTTGGTTGTTCCGTCGTAGGTTTGTTCCTGTAGTTGGGATTTTAAAATCTCTCTACATTCCCTCAGTATCTTCCCAGCTGGCTCAACTTGAGCAGATTGGTTTTCACTGCTATGTTTGTTACTGGTTCCTTCCTTTAATGCTGTCCATCCCGTCGTCCGTCCATTTAAGTATTTTGTTTATCAGGACTATATGGGAAATGGCCTGTATTTGATGTAGTGTATTGTACAGTTTGGTGGCAGGAGAATCTCGTCTCTGCTTTTTGCGGATGATGTGGTCCTCCTAGCTTCATCCAGCTCTGACCTTCAGCTCTTGCTGGGTTGTTTCGCGGCCGAGTGTGAAGCGGCTGGGATGAGGATCAGCACCTCCAAATCTGAGACCATGGTTCTCGACCGGAAAAGGGGGGCTTGCCAACTCCGGCTCGGGGGAGAGGTCCTACCTCAAGTGGAGGAGTTTAAGTATCTCGGGGTCTTGTTCACGAGTGAGGGTAGGAGGGATCGGGAGATCGACAGGCGGATTGGTTCGGCGTCTGCAGTGATGCGGACGCTGAGCCGATCTGTCGTGGGGAAGAGGGAGCTGAGCCAGAAAGCCAGGCTCTCGATTTACCGGTCGATCTACGTCCCAATCCTCACCTATGGTCATGAGCTTTGGGTAATGACCGAAAGAACGAGATCGCGGATACAAGCGGCCGAAATGAGTTTCCTCCGTAGGGTGGCCGGGCTCAGCCTTAGAGATAGGGTGAGGAGCTCAGACATTCGGGAGGGACTCGGAGTAGAACCGCTGCTCCTCCGGATCGAAAGGAGCCAGTTGAGGTGGTTTGGGCATCTGGTCAGGATGCCTCCTGGACGCCTCCCCGGAGAGATGTTTCAGGCATGTCCTGCCGGCAGGAGGCCCCCGGGTCGACCCAGGACACGTTGGAGAGGTTACATCTCCAATCTGGTCCGGGAACGCCTTGGGGTCCTGCCGGAGGAGCTGGTGGAGGTGGCCGGGGAGAGGACGGTCTGGAGCTCCCTAGTTGGGATGCTGCCCCCGCGACCCGGACCCGGATAAGCGGAGGAAGACGACGACGTACGGTCCTCCAAACCCCCAAGGCGCTTTACAACACAATCAGTCTTTCACTTACCCACACACCCATTCACTCAGCTGCCACAGAGGTGGGACTGCCAAACGGAGGCACCCCCGGTCCCTCCGACCACCACCACCAGCAGGAAAGGTGTCATGGTTCGTGGTGAGCAGCCTGTTTTTTCCTGAGTCTTGTTTGCAGGTGGGCGTGCCTGAGAGCGGCCCATCTGATCCTGATCCACACCGGCTCAGACTCTAGACAGGACATCGTTATGGAAAGTCAACAGTCCTTATTTAGACTGTGTTGTTCTAAAGACGTGGTGTTTATGTGGGTACCTTCTCACATCGGGGTTGTGGGGAATGAATGTGCAGACCACAAAAAGGAGCTTGTAATGCATACATAGATCTTCCATGTAAAATTAGTAAGTCGGAGGCAAAGTGTGTTATTAAACTGTTATAAGTGTGTTATTAATCCAATCCACCGGTATCCGTCCCTCCTATCATATCCAACACTTTAGCCCTGCATGAACTCCATTCAGACCCTCCTACAACAATCTTCCAACACTAACAAGCGCTTGATCCAGATGGACACTATATTAAATTATCAGTGTTTTACTTACCTGGTCTCTGAAGTTGATTCTGTATGTCGTGGGTCAAAAAGCTGCCCCTCAACATGACACAAGGCAGGTTAAGTGTCTTGCTCAAGGACACAACAGCAGTGCTCTGTGGCAAGATCGGTCCTACAACCCTCCGATTACCAGACAACCCGCTCTCCCTCCTGAGTTACTGCCTCCCCTTTAAAAATGCACACTTTAATTTGACCACGGTCTGTTCTGTTAATGACTGAGAGGTATTAGATCACATTTCTGTAAAAAATAAAAAAAATAAGATTTAATTTTGATATTTTCAACTAATGTACCATCTCTGGTGTTTCAGGCAGTTTTAACCAATATGCTGTATATGTACCTCAAGAAAAGGGCAAAAAACACGTCACTTTTGTTTTGCAAATAGAACTTTAACATGAATGCAAAATGAATACAGACCTAGAAATGCATAAAAGTGTAATAATAAAAGGTAGAATTGCAAAGTCAAACAATAACCAGTCGAGCAAATCACACGAGTGTGTGTGTGTGTGTGTGTGTGTGTGTGTGTGTGTGTGTGTGTGTGTGCGCGTGTGTGTGTGTGTGTGTGTGTGTGTGTGTGTGTGTGTGTGTGTGTGTGTGTCAGATACAGGTAAAGCACAAGGTGTTGGTCATTCTGTCATTGTTGGGCGTGACGTTTTTGTAAATGGTCACAATGAATAAACCGCCAGTAAATCTGGAATGTTCCATTAAATTATGGCTCATTAATATATTTGAACCTTTAATATCAGATTGATTCTGGAAATAGGTAACTTGAGTATGCCAGGGAACCAACACTCATCAATAACTTGACACAGAAGCAAAAATATAGTTTATAACAATCAATTTGTTGTTATATTTCTACAACTAATGATGATGCAGGATGAGTGATTAGGAATGATGATTAAAGGTAATATCAGCTGAGACAATAATCAAAATCTGATCAAACATGATCTTAGATGTTATTAAGAGTCTAATTAATTTCTTTAGGAAAGAATGTGATGTCTGGGTTCATGAGAATAATCTGGCTGAATGCAGGGATGTTTAATCCTAACCCATCCAATGCCAGTGTGCAGAATCTACGATGTGATGAAAGTTCAGCTGACCGCAAAGACGTCTCGTCCAGGAGAGTTGTTTTGACTTCTGGGTTATCAAAGGTCGTAGTGCCTTGGAATCGGCATGACTGGTGAAGAAATACCCCTGCTTCTTCTGCTGGAAGCTGGCGGGTCGTTTCACGTCTGATGAAGTTGTTGCAGGTTAAAACAAATAACGGTTGTTTTGGTTCTGGAAAAAGGTGGTTCTACGCCGCTAAACAGTGTTCTCTTGTGAGATCTGCTGGATCTGCTGGATCTCACAAGAGATGACGTTCAGCACTTTGGCTAGAACTAGATAATAGAGGATGTGACTGCCTCTTTTGATGGTCCATGTTGGACCAATCAGAGGCCAGAAAATGTAGGAGCCGTTAACAAAAACCCTTGACATCACATCCGTCCTAAGAAAATAAAATATTTCACTTATTGTGGGATCTAAATATGATTTAACTGTCATTGTTAAAATGCTGATATTACGTGACACGATTGATAAATCATCATTAAGTCATCAAGTAGATTTGTTTGGTGCATTTATTAATAATAATGTTAATAATAATGATAACACAAGTTTTATAAAGAGCTTTTCACAACAAGTCAAACACGCTGTACAACCAAAGACTGACAACAGACAAGACAAATAAACGCAACGAGAAAAGGTTAACATGAAATGAATGCTTGGTTGAACAGGTGAGTTTTTAGTGCTTTTGTGAATTTTTGCAGTGAGTCCGCATCACACACGTGCTGTGGGAGAGAATTCCATAAGGTGGGGGCAGCAACAGGAAAAGCTGTGTCTCCGATGGTACGGGGCTGGGATGTGGCTACCGGAGAGAGCAGGTAGGAGGCAGAGGATGAGGGGAGGGGTGGTAATGACAAAGGTCAGAGATGATGGGGAAAGGTTACTGAGAGCGTTGTAGGTGATGAGTAATGCCTTGAACTAAATACGCTGTTAAACTGGAAGCCAGTGAAGATCTTTTAAACCGGGGCTATGTGTTCCCTGCTACAGCTGTAGGAAAGAAGCCTGGCAGCTGAGTTTGGAACATATTGGTTCGTGTAGGCGTGTACGAAGGGGGCCGTATAGTGTACTATTACAATAGTCAGTTCTGGATGAGATGGTGGCATGGACGAGTGTTTCTGCAGCCTTGAAGGACAGAGCAGGGCGAAGGCGGGAAATATTATCAAAGTCGTTTTTATTGTCATTTCTACCACATGTGCAGGACATACAGAGAAACGAAATTGAGTTTCAGTGCACACATTTCAGAGATCAGACATACGTGGGTAAGACACATGACAATAATTGGTGACTGCAGTCATTCACAGCATGAGTCGTGCTACCTTAATAGATAGATGAAAAGGGAGTTACATGAGGATAAGTGGGGGTAAGGTAAAAAAAGGCATAGCAGAGTTAGACCCAGCGGGGAGTAACTCTATTATACAAAAAAATACTCCTTAACATAGAAGCACAAACAGCACAGATACAAACATCAGAGTCCAATGGGGAGGCGGGGATGGGCGGGATCCTGAAGCCTCCAATGGGAGCTGCCGGTACGGCGCATCAGCCAGCTGC